GACGCCTCTGCACGACGCCGAGCGTCGTCGAGCGTCGAGCGCGACGAAATGAGGGCTCGGCGATGCGCGTTTCGCACCTGCGTACAAGACGCCGCAGCACGTCGATGCATCGCACGTGGACGTGCCACCGCCGCCGCGGCGCAGTCAAGAGGAGAGGAGAGGAGAGGAGAGGAGAGGAGGGAAGAGCGAGTGAGTAGACGCGACATCGAACGCGGGTTGGAACGCTTGACGCGGACGTTCGCGCCGATCTGTGCGATGCGCTCTCGTTTTTTTTTTTCCTTTTTTTTTTTATTCGAGTGCCAATTCAGATCGGTTACGCGGACGCTGATTTGAAACGCTTCGCATCACCGAAAAGTCGGAGCTCCGAGGGACGAAACAGCCTGCGAACGGATAAAAAAACGAAAATGGGGTGCAACGACGATTGCCGTTCATCGCTAATAATCGGCAATTATCCTCCTTCCCTTCCGATAACAATTATTCTGCATAAATTCCGATTTCCAGTGACACGATCGGTGTTGTCAACAGAAATCAACCTTGAAACCCAACCCTTTCCGCAAGAGTCTGGACCTGGCCCACGTGAATCATCCGTGCCGACATTATTCGTCGGACCGACACGCTGCTCCATATCACCCAGCGTCCTCCACATCGATTTACTCTCATCCCCCTGTTTCCTCCCTTCCCATTTGCTTATCAATGTAGAATTCTAGATTGATTTCTAGAATTTGATGTAGCACAAGCGATTTCGCGAATCGGCCGGAGAAAGGAAACATGATTCTTCCATCCGCCTCTTGAATATTTTCCAAGAAGCTCGCTCGATTAAAAATGAGTTGTATAGGTCACAAAATGGCGGAAAAAATTAAGCTTACTATAATTTTAATCATTAAATCGTCGCGATATTTCGAGATAATTGAACATTGACTGTTGCCTATTTAATCGAAACGATGATGTCTTAAATATCGTATTTTTTCGGTTATATGCTTTTTTATCGAAAAATATACAAGCTTACGCGATGCAAGAGGGAGAGTATAAACTTTCTTTAATTATTTTAACCAACGGCTTCGTTAATTTGCATTTTGTTATAATGTCTCAGGCTAGTGACGAATCAGAAACTATTTTCTTGAACTACTCTCTATAGAACAGTCAAAAAGTCATTCAGAATGCTTTTTTTACCGAGGAAGAATTGAATACATTAATTAATGAGAGAATTAAAAAAAGAGAATTGACTATGCTAATTAATTTCTTTAACTCAACTCTTATCGCTATTTATCAGATTTTTGCAAATTTTAGAACGTAATCCGTAATAACAACACGGAAGAACAGTTTTGCTAAAGTATTTAAATATTTAATCAGATCTAAAAATAATTTCGTTAGGCTAAATAAATTATGTAGAATGTTCAAACTGATTGTTAGAATGTTAAAACTTTTCGCAACATTGCTCATCATGTTTAAATTTCCTACATAATTATTTTGATAGTTCAACAAAATTATTTTCAGATCCTGTGTCTGTCTAAATTTTTAGATTTCTTCACGGCAAAATTATTCTTGCCGTAAAGAGAGAGAGAGAGAGAGAGAGAATTTATAATTTCGTTTGAGAATTTATGTTTTTATTGTATAATTTTTTTCACCATGAGATATCTTTAAAATCTTACTCTACAAAAAGAAAAATGTATTACACATTCGAAGATTTAAAGTTAAAGGTTTGCTAAAGAAGATAAGTCATTGTATAAAAAATTGTATAAAATTTCGCAAACTAGTTAAACCAATCAACTCCTATACGTCGTACCGTTTAAAACTTCCCATTCTCTTAAGCGGTCTTTTTACACCTATTATTTATTTATCGTTCGTCCACGAAGTGTAATGACATCAGTAACCAGAAAACTGGACGCATCGTTCCGTATCAACGCAAACGAAGGATCGCGAGTATCTCTCGCGTGCATCCTCAGCCACCTTTTATCTCGTCCTCCCGATAACGCTTCCGGCACACCCGTTATTTGATGGCGTGCATAAAATCGCCGTGGATGACTAGGTGCACTTCTGAGTACTTAACGTAATGAATAAGACGAACGGTCATTAAACGCTTCCGACGTATTTGAATGTGGCAATGTCAGAAAACATTTTATCTTGCAGAAATTAAAGAAGAAAAAGAAACAGATATTGGAGGAAGAAACTTGATACTTTCTTTCCGTAACTCTGTCGCGTAATTTATCATACAATAAATTACAATCGTCTAAAAAGTTGTATAATGTATTTTAACATAAATGTATTTATGTTAAACGATCTGCGAACGCATGATTTTTCAGAACATAGTTCTATTTATAATTGTTAAAATGTATAAATGATTTTATATATTTTAATATAGTCTAATATTTGCATTATATATATATATATATATATATATATATATATATGTGTGTGTATGTATTTTAAACTTCCGAAAAGTTTTCATATTTTGCATTACGCAAAATTGTAATACGTGGAAAAAATTGATGTATTAACATCATTAACTAATAATAATCTTATTGAAAATAAATTTTATTAATACTAGAAATACCGATCAATCTTATTACTGACCGTTTCTATTTTTTAGATTAATATTATTATATTTTTAGTGAAAAAAAAAAGATAGGATTTTAAAATATTTTGACTTCTTAATAATTAATAGTTATATCCATACTATATGCATACTGATGAATTATTTAATTTTTTATCATTTTTTTTATTTTTATAATAATTTATTTGCTTGATCCTTTTAGCGAGTAAAAATGTTGATGCTTCTAATTTTAATTGAATGGCAATTAAATATTAATTAAACATTTTATTAAAACAAGAACGTGGTCTATTTGTTTTATTAAAACTGTCATCGAATTAACAAGATTGTTAATTACATTGCTATCGCCTATTAATACTATTTAATACCATTTTCCGTGTAGATCGTTTAAAAAATAGTCTTAATGTCATTTAATCATTTCTTCTTTCATTTAATTGAATGAGAAATATATGAGAAATTGAATTGTGTGGCGCGTACAAACGCAACCTTCGAAGAAGTTTTGCGAGTAAATAATTGCTTTTGAAATCTTTTTTTTCAGATGTCAGAACATTTGCGCAACGGATGGCAAGGGCGGAAAGTGTTGGGGATGATTTGGGCCTTAGTGGTCCTGTGGTGGCTACGTTTGAATCCTACTGGCCTGCTAAGTCCCAAGTTGTCTTCGACGTAAGAAACTGGTGTCTCTTCGAAAGAAACTCCAGTGATAATTTTCCTAAATCTTAAAGCAAAGCATCTCCATCTCTGAGACAACGGTAAACCTTTTATTATATGACAATATACGTTTATGTCTAAACAATAATAACGTAGATGCATGAGAAATGTAAGAAGGAAAATTTATTTTGTCGATAATTGCTATTACGTAAATATCTCTCTTTGAGAAGAAAAAAAATTAATAATTGATGTTTACAATTGCAATAATATTCCTATATATTTGTCAATGCTCGAATAATTATAAGTCAATTCATTTTTCTTCCTTTTCTCTTCAAGAGGAAAGAAGAAGAAAAAAGATGAACTAGTGCAAAAGTAGCCAAAAAGAACAGGCCTAATATATAATAGAGAGAAAACGACAGCTGTCATTTCAAATTAATTTGTCAGAATGAAAGATACATCCAGAAGATGTCGTTATTTGAATGTTCATTAAAAGTTTTTAAAATGATTTTCGAGATCCTCTCTGATCATTTCTGAAATCTCTAGAAAAAGTTTATAAAAGTCAAATACTCAATATAGAGAATGAAATAAAGTTTGATGTATGAATAATGTAGAATACAACAGAATAGTGTGTGCGGGTTAATTTAGGTTTCAATCTGTTAGTGCGTATCTTTAAATGTGCATGTGTCATACGTCGATCACCTGCAGTGAACGGGAAAGTCGGAGATAAAATACTGACCTATACAATAAATCTGATCGTAATTAATAATTCTCGCAGCAATTACTATCCAACAATCTCCGCGTTTCTTAGCTGTTTTTTTTTGCATCTGTTAATTTTTTTGCAAAATTTATTACAGCTAATTTCTTCGAAATGTCAAAGATGCAAGTTTGTTAAATGCTATTAAAATCGTAATTAAATGAAAACTGTTTTAGCTATATATTTACAAAAGAAGTTTAATTATTATTTATTATTCTATTAATCAAGGACTCGATTAATTTATGTATGCTATTATATGTTGGCTTTTTAAATTTTATTATTAATTACATTGATATTTTAATATTATTTAATATTAGTAACAAATAGCAATATTTTTTATTTCAATATAGTGTAGAAGATATTTGCTGCAGACTAAGTACGTCTGAAACCCGATTTGAGAATTAATTATTAACGAAATGAGGCGTAGACTTTCGAAACGAGTTTGTTGAGGCAGCTTTGGGGTTTCTATGCGGCATGTGCCTCGACACGAAATAAACGCAATGCCCTTGGAAATCCCAAAGGAGTCCAACGCATCGCAACAACATGGAGGATGATCTATTGGACTCACCGATTTTGTACCATTCAACCCGGTTCTGCGTAATCTCGGATGATCACCGCGCAGAGGGGTGTCATTGGCAATCTCTTGATTCTGCCAATCAATCATCTTTCAACGTGATTCCTATAACGTATTACGAGTTTATGCAGCTAGTAATTTTGTGATAATGTTATTTATTTAACTCGAATCCAGTTAAAATTACAGAGGGAATAGAAAAAAGTGATCAACATGGTCAAATGTAAATTATGTATTACATGCTATAATATTTGATATATTATATGCTATGATATACAATAAATACAGCCCGTACTGATGTCGGGTATTGTTAAAGATAACTGAATTCACAATAACATATGCGTCCGTTTCAAGTTATTTTACTTCCAATATCAACAATCTTGCGTCTAATTTGCGAATAATTATTAATTTATTTCAATTTATTATTAACTTAATTTTAAAAATTATAATATCACCAAAATTTCACTTTTAATTATAATTAATTCAAATTTTAAGTTGTGTGTTATTAAAAATTGTTAGATCTAATATAAACAGATTTAAAATTACTCGGAAATAAAGTTCTGTGTATACAAAATGATTCGTTCTGTATGATACTTTACTTTTGCAAATTCCTTTTTACTAGAATATTACCTTTGTAAGATTCCAAATGATACACTCCACACCGTCCATCCACTGATACCTTCCAGCCGAAACTATTGCTAGCTGATACAAACGAACGCTAAATGAAAAAACTATCAACACATCGATTGTAGTCGCCGCGGTTTACACAGTTACCAAATATAAAGATTCTCAAGGTCGATTGTCAGAATTGAGATTGTAAACTCAAAAAAACTATGATATGTTATATGACTCGAATAAAGAAAATATCAAATAAGTGCACATTTATCTCCATATTTATAAAACATGACAATTTTTTAAATTGAATTTTTGCATAAATCATGATGAAATAAAATATTTAAAACGTAACGGAAAGGATTGTACTTTCATAATGAAATTTGAAAAATGCTGAGTTTATATAAGCACATATAAAATAAAGCAACAGATATTTAAACGGTAATGTAGCAACATGCCATGGTGTTACGTTAACTCATAGATAAAAATGTGTTCAGATGTTATCAGAAAGGAGGATTTATTAAGGAATTAAACATATCTATAAATATATATCACGATAATGACATTCATTTAGTGATTAGAAATGGAGGTCAGTGAAATCAAAGAATTTTTTTTCCTTTTTCTTTTTATTCAGCACGTTTTAGCGCTGTTGTGTTACGTATTATGTATATGCAATTGATGCATATCATGCTGCATTTCATGCCGCTCAACGTGATGTTCTCCGGAACACCGTAGTTAGTTCCAAGCATCGTTTTCCTCGAAAGCTTTCTTGCTGACTACGACGGTAGTCGTTTGCTCCTTGCGTTTCTTGCGTCTTTTACCTGTACGAGACAAATCGGGCGGTTGATTCAAAGCGCAAGAATAAAAAGAGCGTGTAATACCTACCCGTAGCAACTTGCCACTCGTCGTCATCGTCCTCCGGTGGCTTCACGCCGTTTGTCGTCGATGTCTCGTCATCCTTCACATCCTTCCTGCGAACAATTCCCTCATGTAACGCGAATGAAAAAAGAATTTCCGTCAGCGTGGCAAGTATATAATCGCTGCGAAAAATCGATCGACGGACGCCGACAGTGTCGCGTGTAAAAAGTACTCCTGTCTCGTTCACGAAGATCCTACCGTTTACATCCCTCAACTCTTGATATCCTGCAATATCGGCTATATTTAACAAGAACACGCACACGTGCGTCATGTACGTGACGCGCGCACGTGATGCTGCATATTCATAAGTCGCGAGCCTCGCAGCAACAGTTCCGCGAGCGGCTCCGACACGCGCGCCGAGTAAATTCCACGGGCGTAATGTACGATAATGCCAATAATGCACAACCGCGAGCGAGTGAGCGAGCGATCGGTCGGTTCGTCGGTCGGTTAGTCCCTCTCTCTTTCGCGATTACATCCACGGTTCGTGCGCCCGAGGTGCCTGCCTCTCGATGTCGATGTTAAACACTCGGTTCTTCATCCATTAAGGCCCGGTTCTACCAATGTAAAATTAACTTTAATCTCAGTTCAATTTACTCTTTATCTTTTTCTAATGCCCGTTTCTAACAATGTAGATTAACATTAATCTCGGTTTAATAAATTCTTTATCTTTTTCTTAGAACTTAGAAGAGGATAAAAAGTATGTTGAACCAAGATTAAACTTAATGGATATATGTTGCAATTTCCTTCGTGGATCTAAGCATCTATCTTATCTCTCAACTACAAATCCAAGTGTATAATAAATAAGTTCATATATGTACATGATTTAGCAATAACATTAAAAAATACTATACTGCATACAAATATGGATTTCCGTATTTAAACATGTAACATAGTATTATTTTTATGCGGAAAATTAAATCGCACACGTATACAAAGTCATTTGTTACACGTTTGGATTTGGAGTGCAACAATGCTGATCAAAAGAATCATTTTTTCCCCTTTCGTCCGGAAAGATCATTCCTAGGTAGACTAACAATTCCTCTTGTTGTTAGAATTTAAATCGACCGATTGTAAATGCCATGTCCTCTCAATGACCATTCTTCTCTTCCTAGAAATGTCATCCGTTTGTCCCGGTTGTGGCCGCGAGCTCCTTGTCATCTGATGTTGATGTCGTTTCGTTTCGCAGCAAGGAAACGCGTGCACGCGCAACGCAGCGGGGAGAGTTACGAGCACGGTGATTGCGAGCACGTGGGCGATTCATTAATATCGTGTCGCCCGCGAGACTGAGCAGTGTTGTAACTACAATGCGGCGGAGAGACTGCAGTTGGTTAAACGGAAACGATATATATATATATACTCATAGACGCGTCGTTTTAAACGCACGATTGACTACTTACAGTCGTTCGAAAAAGTACTCGTAAAAAAAATCTTTAATTCTTTTCTTAAAAAAATGTTTCTACGAATAATATATTTTATATTTTAATAATTCTATAATATATATAATATTTCTTTGTGTGTGTGTGACTTGTATCATCAAATTATTAAACATACCTCAGATTACTAGGTAATCTAATTATATTTAAAAAATAAAAATGACCGCGAATCTAATTAGAATTCTTTACATTGACATAATGTAATCGTAGTTTTATATAAAGTATAAAAAATCGGAACAAGAGCATTAAACGATTCAGATGATTTCACGCGTACATCATTCAAAGCAATTCCCATAGACAACTAGTCACTCATACGACGATGATACTTCACAAACCGGACCAAGGCAAGAGGAGGAGAAGGAAGAGTAAAAAGCCCAGGCAGAGTGAGAGGAAACTGAAGGGAAAAGAGAGAAGAGGAAGAACACTAAATAGGCCTATAGAAGTGAGAGAGAGAGAGAGAGAGAGAGAGAGAGAGAGAGCGTCGCGTGCATTAATTCAGAAGGTCTATAGCCCTATGCAAATCTCTCGTGTACAGGAAATCCTAGGAGGCTGCCTAGGATTTCCTCTCTCTCTCTCTCTCTCTCTCTCTCTCTCTCTCTCTCCCTCCCTTCCCCTCTTCTCTCTCTATCATCTTGGAAATCATAGCGGACCTGTAACGCGTTATTCATCCTTGCGTTTAATACATCTCGCATGAACGTGATAGCTTGCGGCAGAAAATAAATTGCGATAGAGACCGTTCATTTTTGGAACATGAATGCGTATGATTTCCAAGATTGCATTACGTAAACATATATATCCATATCGCAAAAGAGCAATACAAAATTCTTACAAAATTTTGTATTTTCTCTAAATTAGAAAAAGTTAGCTTTATTAGTTCAAAAACAAGAATCATCCAAGAGTATAAATTTTGATTAGTAAAATTACCTGAATGTATAATGGATAGGAAATATTTAAAAAACGTATATGTAAAAAATTTAGTAGAAGATCTGAGAGTTAACGTTAACATTTGTGGAAGCATTTGTAAATTGAATTACGCTAAATGTTATAATAAAATCTATACAATAACTTACTTTGATGGTGATAATTTCCGTTTGCGGTCCTCAGGAGAGGCACTGGCTTGCAAGGTGGCTTGATATTCTGTATATGTCTGTATTTTGTATACAGTTTCCTTGGACAAGCTTGTCATCGCGACACCAGCCTGATCACGACGATATAAGCCTACATATGCGGATGTGTCGGATAACCATGAAATGTATCCGCCTCCTGTAAACAAAAAGAAGAAGAAATTCATTATATCCTTCATGCATATCTTCTATGTAATCTATGTCAATTCGTGTCTTATTTGTATAAAAAAAGAAAGTTATCGTTTTGTACTCTAGATGTAATATTATACTTACCAAAGGGAATAAAGAGTTGAATGATGTCCGTATGTTTCCATTCTTTGGGGAATGTAAGGTGAAACACGTGTTCTCTGCTAGGATTTGCTAGAAAAAGATATATCATTAAATAAAAGTAATGCATCACTTTTCAATAATATTGTAATATTATTTTTTAGTAACACTAAATATACTTACGATCTTTTCCTACCAAATTTATATACGGAAAATCTTTCAGTCTTGGTACAGGAATTCTATACAAAAAAATGATTACTAATAAAATAATTATAATTATATATAAATAATATTTTATATTCCTATAAAATTTAGACTTTTTACCTTTTTATTTAATTATATATAAAGGTAAAAAGTATAAACTATATATTATTTTTTATTGATATAAAATATACTCACTTGTTGAGAAAAGGATAAAGTAACGGTGAATTCGCTAATACCGTAGCATTTTCAATGTGTTGTAATTTGCCTGAAATAAGCAACAATCCAATATATACTTATTATAAAATAATTTATCACGAATTTAATTTATCCAGCAATGTACATAATTAATCAACATAAAAAATATTGATGAATATAAAAAAGAAACACATCTACTCTATCAAAATATATATTTTTAATATTAATTACTTCTAAAATAAATAACAGTATCGATAATAATCATTATGATATTTGTACCTGATATATTGTACTGACCAAGATAATTGGATAATGCAATAAAGCATAAACCAGTGATGTAC